AAACACCCAAAAAAAAAAAAAAAAAAAAAAAGAAATGAAGAGAGAGAAATCATCCCCCAGTGGGGATAGCCACATCATAGTCCTTTCTCCTACATTCTTCTCTCAGGATTTCAGGCATGCATGCATACGCACCTGGCGTGAGTTTCAAGCTTCAGGCCTGGGATTCGAACTGCTGTCTTCAATGTGGGAGACGAACACCTTAAACAATAAGCCACCCTCTGGCCCCTGCTGTGGTTTATTTATTGACGGGCTTTATCAAGTTACAGAAGTTTCTTCATATTACTAGCTATTAGAATGGACTCTTTCCTCTGAATTTATGTTTTTTTTTAAGAGATATTTTTTGCTGTAGGGCACATGCATTCCCTGGAAAGACAAAGAAAGAGAGACAAAAAGCAAGAAATCACACACCAGGGGTCAATGGCCACACCGTGATCCCTTCTCCTCTATCCTCCTCTTAAGATTTTAGGCATGCACACACACACACCCAGTGTGAATTTCAAGCTGCTAGGTCTGAGACTCAAACCACAGTCGACTACATGGAAGTCCAGAGATGTAACCATTACGCCATCTGCTGATCCCTACTTTTATTTTTTAAAGAATTATTTATTTCACAACTTCCATTCATTGTTGTTGTTGTTATTATTATTATTATTATTATTATTATTTAATTTCACCAGAAAGAGACAGAGAGAAAAAGAAAGGGAAGGGGACCAGCACTTGGCATAATGTCTATGTTGGTAGACTCTCATGTAGTCAACCATGGTTCAAGTCCCGGACCCAGTGGCTTAAACTCATGCCAGGCATGTGTGCGTGCGTGCCCAAGATCCTGAGAGGAGAATGGAAGAGAAGGGATTGCGGCGTGGTCATCCCCCCTGGGGGGGTGATTTCTTGTTTTCTGTCTCTCTGTCTCTGTCTGTCTGTCTGGTGAGTGCATGCGCCCTATAGCCAAAACAAAACAAAACAAAACAAAAAAAACCTCTCCAAAAAAAAAAAAAAATTCACATCAGAAAGGACCATAGCGGTTATGTTGCTGTACTCCCATATGGTTGACCATGGTTCGAGTCCCGGACCTGTGGGCTTGAAACTCAGAGTGTGTGTACACCCAAGATTCCAGGAGAATAGAGGATAATCACCCTCCTTGGGGGTGATTTCTCACTTTTCCTCTTACTGTCTCTGTTTCTCTCTCTGGCCAGCACACACACCCTAAGGCAAAAACCTCTCAAAAAAAAAAAAAAATCATACCAGGCAAGTGTGTGTGCATGCCCCAAATCCTGAGAGGAGACTGGAAGAAAAGCGGATGAGGCATGGCCATCCCCTCTTGGGGGTGATTTCTCACTTTCCCTATTTGTGTTTCTCTGATGAGTACAAGAACCCTATAGCAAAAATCTAAAATAAAATACATTTTCAAACAAAAGCACAAACCTGTGAATGTTGCTGTTCCTTCTAAAACAGAAACTGTAGTTGCTGAATGCATTCGTGTTCTAATTCCTTAGTAGAGAAAAACAAAAAGTTAGATCTGGAATGATTTTATCTTTCTTAAGTGCAAACAAAATTGTTGACTTAGCTCTCAACAGACAAGGCGATGCCCTTATCCCGGGAGTTCAAACATAAAAGGAGCAAATATATACAAGCTACCTAACAACGACTGGACGGAAAATGAGGTAATTAGGTCCTGGTCTAAGAACAGGCTTTTGAACTGCAAATAAATGACAGAAATGCTGCATTTCACTGTATCATCTTGAAACTCTGGGACATTATTTTCTGAGATCGTTATTTTAAAAGTTTTGAAAGTAATGCTGACTCTCTAAAAGTTAAAGATACACATGGAAGTTACTGAGGCTGATTCTTAGACGTCGGGCCCTTCCACATGTCCCTTGGCTACATGATACTCCCAAGTCATGGATTTGGCTGTTTGATCTCTGATTCAGCTTGAAGATATTTCAGGGCTCCAGAAATTAGTCCGTTCTCTGAATACACTTAGTGTACATGTGAAGCAGCTCAAATGTACAAGTGCTTCCATCAACAATCACTTCAAAGGTCATTAATAACTTACAGGTGTGAGAGTGGAAATGCCCTCTGCACTCCCCTGCCCTTTCTTGAACTCCGGTCACTCTGGGCCATTTTTTTAACAGTGATTTCTTAACTTGGTATTTCTTTTTCTCCATCTTCTCTTCCTTGGCTCTGGGGTTTTTAAAATGATATTTCAAGGGCATGGTGGTTAAGGATGCTGGACTCCCACATGGCTGACCACAGTTCAAGTCCTGAACCTGGTGGCTTGCTTTCTCACTTTCCCTCCCCCCTCCACCTCACTCTGTCCTTCTCTAGTCAAATTAAAATTAATTAATTAATTAATTAGATTTAATAATTCTTTAAAAATAAAGATATTCCTAAATCTTCCAGGAAACACAATACCAGACCAATATGTTTCAATGTATTTGCTACTTTGTTTTTTTTTCATGTCTTTGTGTTACTTGTTTACTGAAAGTAGAGGAAAGCAATTTAAATTCTTCAGAAGAATCCTATAAAGGAAATGGAAGACAGAGCAGGTGGGTAGTGAAAATCTGCCTGGTTTGAATCATGTGAAAATGCTGACGGGCCATAACCTCTCCTTGGTTCCTACCATCGCCAGAGATGGTCCCTAAGCCCTTGCTAGCATCTCTAAAAAGATCCATGAGCTGTGTGTGAGAGAGAAGCTTAATACAAAGATCAAAGTTTTCTTTTTTCTTTTTAAAGAATTATTTTATGGAGCCAGCAGGTGGTGTGCTGGTGTTGGACTCCCACATGGCTAACCATGGTTCAAGTCTTGGACCTGGGGCTTGCTCTCTCACTTTCTCTCTGCTTTTCTTGTCAAATTAAAATATAATAATAACAAATAAAAATATATAAATAAATAAATGTTTTTTAAAAATAATTATTTTATTTAACTTCGTTTATTTACTTACTTTAATCTGACTAGAGAGGGACAGAGTGAGAGAGAGAGGGAAAGTGAAAAAGCAAGCTGCCGGACCTGGGACGCAAACCACAAGTGGCCATGTGAAAGTCCAGCACCTTTAACCACCACACCACCTGCTGGCCCCGCAAAGATCAAAGTCTTCAACAGCAGAGCTGCTGCCGTTCAGGGCAGACAGCTGTGCTATGCAACATAGTCCTGGAGGACATGACACGGTATCCCTGGCCTCTATCCACTAGCCAATAGCAAGCTCACTCCTACCCCCCAATTTGTCACAACCAAAAACGTCTCCAGATATTGCCAATATCCACTGAGGGGCAAAATCACCCCAAGTTGAGAACCATTAATCTAGATGGAAGTGTCTTCTGATTTTGAGTCTATAAATATGAACTTGCAGCTGCACATCAGAGCAAGCCAGCTTAGACAAAAGTTTAATCATTGAGTAGAGGGATATCTGACAATGCTGAAATATCACTCCACAGATAACTTGTAAACAAAGGGGAAAATGTACCATTATGAGGGAGAAAACTGGCATCACAACCTTCACCAAATGACCAATGTAGTATTGCCAATAATGGGACAAAATGACATCATATATAATATTTAACCTGAGTCTAAGTCTCTAGACTAACACCGACTGTATAGAAGAGAAAAGATAGAGCAAAGTTGAATGACAAGCTGAGGAGATAATCAGACGAGCACAGAATGGGGGATTTACTATTAAAAAGAAAAAAAAAGTAGCCTGGACTCTTCAAAAAGGCAATGTAGGAACCAGCAGTTAGCGTAATGGCTATGTCGCTGGACCCCCACGTAGTCGACCGCGGTTCACATCCCGAACCCAGTGGCTTAAACTCACGCCAGGCGCGTGTGCGTGCGTGCCCAAGATCCCGAGAAGAGAATGGAGGAGAAGGGATTGCGGCGTGACCATCCCCCCTGGGGGGGTGATTTCTCGCTTTCTGTCTCTATGTCTCTCTCTGTCTGGTGAGCGCACGCGCCCTATAGTGAAAACCTCTCCGAAAAAAAAAAAAAAAAAAGTCAATGTAAGCCTGGCCCCATAACCCAGTGGTGAAGATAACTAGGATCCAACATGGCTGACCACTGACCATGTTTCAAATCCCAGTCAGGTCCAGGACTCCCAATGATTCAGTCAGCCATGTAGAATTCAGCAACCTTAACTACCTCATCACCTGCTGGCCTGCCACTTTGTTCAAATATCAAATAACATAAACAGACAAGTGTTTTCTGTTTCATTGTTCTGTGGTTACATCCTGTGCCAATGCCACATAACTATAATTATTGAAACCTAATATTAAGTGACCAGCAGGTGGCATGGTAGTTAAGACACTGGGCTCCCACATGGCTCATTGCAGTTCAAATCTCAGATCTGGTAGCTTGTTTTCTCATTTTCCCTCTCTCTCTGTCTCTCTCTCTGGTGAGCACATGTGCCCTATAGGCAAATTAAATGAAGGAGGAGAAGGGGAAAGGGAAGGGGAAGAGGAAGAGGAAAAAAGAAAAGAATAGGAAGAAGAAGAAAAAAATAAATTAAATAATAATTTTTTAAAGGTTTTTGCCGTAAGGTACACGTGTTCACCAGAGAGACAGAGAAACAGTGAGACAGAAAGTGAGAAATCACCCCCAGGGAGATGGCCATGCCACAATCCCTTTTTGTCCATTCTTCTCCTGGGCTTTTGGGCACACGCACACACAAGCACACAAGCCCTGAGTGAGTTTCAAGCTGCCAGATCCAGGACTCGAACCATGATCGGCCATGTGGGAGTCCAGTGCCTTTAACCATCATGCCACCTGCTGACCCCAATAGATAATCTTAAAAAAAAAAAAGGAGGCAGCAGCCAGCGAATAGTGTGGCAGTTAAAGGCACTGGACTTCCACATGGCCGACCACAGTTTGCTTTTCACCTTCCTTCTCTCTTTCTCTCTCTCATGAGCACATGTGACCTACAGCAAACCAAAAAATAATAATAAATAGAATAATTTTGTGGCCAGCAGGTGGCATGGTGTCTAAGGGCACTGGATTCCCACATGGCCAAGTGTGTTTAGCGGACCTCGGGGCTTGCTTTCTCACTTTCCCTCTCTTGCTCTCTTGTTCTGTCTTTCTCTGTCAAATTAAACTAAATAAAGTTAAATTTAAAAATTCTAATAAAAACCCAACTTGTATTAAATTATTTTTAAAATTTTATTATTGTTATATATTGAATCACTGTATATCATTAGAGCATGCAAAATTAATTTTCCCAGCATGAATACACTGTTTATTAGTCCAGTTAAAGATATTATCATACATGTTATCATCAACAGATAAATTTCCATTTTTGTCTTAAATGTTTTGTTTCTTTCTTTTTCCCCTTGACTTCCTTTCCCCACAATCCTCCCACATTATCTCCAGTATCCACAATTGTTCTCCATGATTTTGTATCTTCCAATCTTCAGTTTCAGCCACAGAGTGCAGACATTCAATATATATCGAGTGAGGACATACAATGCCTCTTTCATAGTCTGGCTTGCTTCGCTTAGCAGTGAATCTTCCATATTTATCCACTTTCTATCAAATGCCAAGGTCTCATTGTTTTTTTATGACTAAGTATTTTGTAGTGTATATGTGCCACACTTTTTCAATCCATTCGTCTGTTCGTGGGCTTAGGTAGGTTCCATGTGTGAGCAGTTGTGAATAAACATGGATGTGCAAGTACTTTTCGGACTAAGTGTATTTCTTTCCTTTGGGTAGATACCCAGCAGTGGAATTGGTGGATCATACGGCAGTTTTATTTGTGAAACCTCCATATTGTTCTCCACAGTGACTGCACTAATTTACATTCCCACCAACAGTGTATGAGAGAGTTCGCTTTTGATCACACCCTCATCGGCACTTATTTATTTTTTAAAGAATTATTTTATTGGGAACCAGCAGTTAGCGTAATGGCTATGTCGCTGGACTCCCACGTAGTCGACC